GCTGGGGTACATCAGTGAAGAAAACAACAATCTCCGCCCTTGTGGAGCTTGTTATTTTCTTCTCTTTGTTCCTTAGATTTACTAGTGGTGAATGATCCCCTCTATCCAGTTGTCCATCTCAGACCCCTGGGAGTTATTCTTTATTTTATTTTATTTTTAAGTAAATTTATTTCAGGTTAATGTGAGGATACAAGCAACCAGGTCTAAATATTTGACTTCATTAGGTAGAGTTTGTCTTGTGGTCCTGGGAATTATTCTTGATACCTTTGTCTCCTCCATCTCCAACATCCAGTTAACCACCAGGGCCACCTAAAAGTCTTTAGAATCTGGCCACCATCTTCATCCTTATAGACCCTTCCTGGGCCACTGTCATCTCTTGGATTACTATAAAAACTCCTAACTTGTTTCCCTGTCTCAGGTCGTGGTTTTGTCTAACATGTTCTGTCTCTTGTAAGGAGAGAGAGATTTACCAAATGTTAATGTGAAGGTGTTGCTCCCATGGTCCCCAGTGTGGGGTCCCAGCTCCTTATCATGATTGACGGGGCCCTTTGGGATCAGCCCTCTGTCTTCAGCATCAGCTCTTGCCACCCCTCTGGAAGGCTCAGGTGCAAAGGTCCAGACCAAGTGAACTTCTCTGAGAAGCTTTGAGTGAACCACTATCTCTCTCTCACCTCTAGGCTTTGTTCTCTTCTGCTCTGAACATGTTTCAGGTTTTTGTTCAAATTCACTTTCTCTGGGATTCTTACCCACTCACTAGACTACATTAGCTGCCTTTGCTAGGGTGGTTTGTACAAGCTGGTACTCTACCCATAATTATTGGTTAATTATCTCTTACTTTCCGCTAGACCAGGGTTTCTCAAACTTGGAATGATATTCCGGAGTTGATATTTGGGGTTAGATACTTCTTTTTCTTTTCTTTCTTTCTTTCTTTCTTTCTTTCTTTCTTTCTTTTTTTTTTTTTTTTTTGAGACAGAGTCTATCCTGTTGCTCTGTGTAGACTGTTGTGGGATCATAACTCATAGCAACCTCAGTTTCTTGGGCCCCAGTGATCCTCATGCTTCAGCCTCCTTAGCACCTGCCACAATGCCTGGCTAGTTTCTATTTTTAGTAGAGATAGGGTCTCGCTCTTGCTCAAGCTGGTCCCAAACTCATGAGCTCAAGCAATCTACCTGCCTCAGCCTCCCACAGTGCTAGGATTACAGGCGTGAGCCTCTGTGCCTGGCCTGGGTTGGACTTCTTGCTGTGGGGGCTCCATCCTGGGCTTCTGCTTTCTAGATTCCAGTGGCACAGACTCCCCTCCCATCCCCAGTTGTGATGACCTAAACTTTTCTCGACACTCTCAAAGGCCCCTGTGGGAGAATTATCTCCTGACTGAGACTGCTTTAGACTAAGCTGTATGGGGTACAGCCCACATTTAGTCTGTTCCACTTGACTGAGTCAGTGAAACTTCACAAAGGAGACATGCAGATTGGGTCTTATGGGCTGATCAGGTGATCACTAACACAAGGACATGGGAATGACATTCTGAGGCACATCCAGACTCCTGGAAGTGTGACATGGACTGGCATGTTGCTGAAGCTGTTCATTAGGCCCGGAATATAGCTCCCTATGGCAGATGGACAGGAGCTGAGCCTGAAGGGGTGGATACAAGTCCCAGAAGGCTTGTGTGACACATACAAGTGACCGGGGGTTCTCAACTGTAGTGTTCTTTGTTCCTTAGATTGGACCTGGCCTTGTGTAGGCCAAGGATTCTCAACTATAGTTACAACACATGGGTGTGTTGGAGTCACTTCTGAGGTTAGGTGTCTTAAGACATTTATGACTAAAAGTAAGGTTTGGGAATTTCTGAATGATTCACCTAATAAAAACAGAAACAGCAATTGTAGTGAGACTATGCTTTGTCACTTACTTGGCATTTTGATGGGTGTCCTGCAGTGGGAGGGGGAGGAGTTAGCCTGCCCTCTGCACATGCGTGCCATAGGAAGTGTCTCACACAAGCTTCGTGACCCAAGTGTGTTGTTGGCAAGTTGCTGCTACAGCACCAGGAAAATTCTTCCATTTTAAAAATAAGCCAGCGAACTATTTCACTTGCATTTTAGAACAGACCCTTTGACTGCAAAGCAGAAAATAGATGGTCTGGGAGAGCCTGGAGAGAGGGGGACCGCTTAGGGAACACTGCTGTGGGCCAGTGTGAGATGAGGAAAGCCTGGATTAAGAAGGTTCAGGAGGGATGGAGGGGAGGCGTGGATTTGAGCACCATTGTGGGGATAAATAAAAATCAATAGGGTTTTGCATGCAGGTGAGGGAGAGGAGGGCAGAGGAAGGGCTGGAATGCCATCTAGGTTTCATTTAGCTGATTAGGGATAGAGGGATAGTAGGACTTGGGGGGAATCCAGGTCATGTTTTAGGCACATTGTAATCGGGCACTGTGGGAGGTCACTGTGGAAATGTCCAGGTGAGAAAAGGGCCTTGGAAATCCTCAGTACCAAGGCAGAGAAGTAGTGGCCATGGATGAGGTTGTTCAGAAAAAGTCTAGAATAAGAAGGGAAGAGAAGAGAATTAATGTCAGCACTTACTGGACAGCTAGACTCAGGGGATAGCAGAGGTTGAGAAAGGTCTAAGAAATGGGAAAATTGGGAGAGAGTGGGAGAAAAGAGCTACAAAAAGGGCTGATGGTGTCAGTCAGCAGGTCTGCTGGGGCTGGGTGGAGTTTGAGACCCTTGACCGCTCTCGTCCTTCTCAGGTGGCAGACGTTCATTGGTGGACTTTTGCTTCATGTGTCATGGAAGCTGGGCTGGGTGGAGATCAACAGCAGTTCAAGGTATGTGGAATAACAACCTCTGTGTGCGTGTTCATGCCCTGCTTACTTTTGATACTAATTTTTTTATTTCTTCTCCTATTTTTTTTTTAAGACACAGAATTTTGCCTCTGTTGCCCAGTTTGGAGTCCAGTGGCACAATCATAGCTCATTGTAACCTCCAACTTCTGGGCTCGAGAGACTCTCCCACCTCAAGAGGCCTCCCAAACTGCTGGACTTATAGGTGTGAGCCACAGTGCCCAGCCTGATATTATTTTATTTCTTATGGTGTTGCACTGAGAAACACAGATGCTTGTTTGTGTTATTTGCTTTCTTAGTTCCCTTGTAAACTTGAGATTCAATGATTTTATAATCAGAGAAAACTCTATATTGTTTTCCTGGTCAGTAATGCCACTAATAAAGTATTAAAATTAATTGATACAAGGCACAGTGGCTCATGTCTGTGAGCTTAACACTTTAACGGCCAAAGTGGGAGTTCAGGGCCAGGCTGAGCAATATAGTGAGACCCTGTCTCTACAATGCATAAAAAACTAGCTGGGCTTGTTGGGAGGGTACCTGTGATCCTGGCTACTTGGGAAGCTGAGGCAGGAAGATTGCTTGAGACCAGGAGTTTGAAGTTGTTATGAGCAATGATGATGCCACTGCATTCTAATTGAGATGTACATTTTATATACATTAATATATCTTATTAATTTTGCTTTGTTTTAGATCCTAAGATCACTGTGAATAAGATTATATCAGCTTTAAATTTCTTTTGTGAATTTTTTTTCTCTTTACAAATGAGAAGGGGGTAAAGAGTAGGAAAAGGTGTTTGATCTGTAACTGACTGTGAACAATCAATTGAGATAACTCAATTTTTATTTTTTTGAAATTATTTTCTATTACAGAAAAGTTAGACTAATACAAAGAACTCCTATACCTATTACTCAGACTCCCCAATTATTATTTTACCATGCTTCTTCTACCATTTTTTCTCTCTTATTTATTTATTTAGAGACAGTGTCTTGCTCTGTCACCCAGCTAGAGTACAGTGGTGTGATCATAGCTCACCACAACCTTGAACTCCTGGGCTCGCCATCCTCCTGCCTCAACCTCCCTAGTAGCTGGGACTCCAGGTGCCTGCCACAACACCCCAGCTAGTTTTTTCTATTTTTAGTGGAAATGGGATCTTGCTTTCGTTCAGGCTGGTCTCGAAGTCCTGACCTCAAGTGAGACCTCAGCCTCCCAGACTTCTAGGATTACAGGTGTGAATCACCTCACAGGGCCTACTATTTCCTCTTGATGTACTCTGTGTGTGTGTGTGTGTATGTATGTATATGCATGTTTTTTCTGATCTTTTTGAGAATAAATTACAGATAAATTGCAGGTTTGACAGGAAAATATCTTTATTCTTTACTCCTAAATTCTTTAGTGCATATTTCCTAAGAGCAAGGACATTGCATGACTACAGTAAAGTTATCAAAGTCAGGACATTAACATGAATACAATACTATTATGTCATGTACAGGCCATATTTTGCTAATTTTCTCAATAATAACCTTTACAGCCCTCCCACCCCAAAATTCTGGTCCAGCCTTCACACCAGATTAGATATTACATTAGTTGTTATGATTCTATTAAAATAGCCTTTTTACTAAGTTTAAAAGAAATCTCAGGTTTAGTGCCTGTAGCTTAGTGGTTAGGGCGCTAGCCACATACACTGGGGCTGGTGGGTTCGAACCTGGCCCAGGCCAGCTAAACAACAATTAAAACAATAACAAATAGCTGGGCCTTGTGGCGGGCACCTATACTCCCAGCTACTTGGGAGGCTGAGGCAAGAGAATCACTTGAGCCCAAGAGTTTGAGGTTACTGTGAGCTGTGATGCTACGGCACTCTACCAAGGGCAACATAGTGAGACTCTGTCTCAAAAAAAGAAAAAAGAAATCTCAAAGTCTATGACCTTTTTTAGCTAGAAAATTTACCTAGGTAAGTGCTCTTTGTTCTTTTATTTATGTATTTGTTTTGTGACAGAGTCTCACTCTGTGCCCCTGGGTAGAGTGCTAGGGCATTATCGTAGTTCATAGCAGTCTCAAATTCTTGGGCTCAAGCTGTCTTCTTGCCTCAGCCTCCCAAGTGGCTGAGACTATAAGTGCTCATCTCGATGTCCAGCTAGTTTTTCTATTTTTAGTAGAAATGGGGTCTTGCTCTTGCTCAGGCTGGTCTGCAACTTGAGAGCTCAAGCAATCTGCCTGCCTCGGCCTCCCAGAGTGCTAAGGTTACAGGTATGAATCACTGCACGCAGCCTTCTTTATTCTATGAGAATATTCTTTCCAGCCTGAAAAGATGCACAAAGTGAAAAGAAAATCAAGTCAAGGTTTATATGAATAAAGTAAACATTCCAACTGAAGGATGGAGCCAAGTCATTCATCTTATGAATTATTCTGCCCAACTTCTCCGTTAATCAGATTAACTGCTTGATTGCTAATTCACCTCTTTGTTTGATACTCTGCAGAAGATGTGTCCAATGTAAATATTAATAATTTAGCTTCTCCTGGGCAGCGCCTATGGCTTAGGCGCCGGCCCCATATATCAGAGGTGGCGGGTTCAAACCCGGCCCCGGCCAAAAACTGCAAAAAAATAAAAAATAAAAATAAATAAAAATAATAATAACTTGGCTTCTCCTGAAAATATTATACTGTAGAACAAAAAACTAGTATTAAGAGGTTTTATGGTAAGTTGGGCCCAGGAGTTTGAGGTTACTGTGCGCTATAATGATACCACCGCATTCCAGCTAGGGTGACAGAGTGAGACTTTGTCTCAAAAATCAACCAACCAAACAAAAACCCCAAAGGGTTTTATGAAAGGGAGTCCCTGGGAACATAGATGTACCTTAATTTACCTAACCCTGTTATTTCATGATTCATATTGTGAAAGAATATTCCACATGAGATGCTTATTTAAGCCAAAGGAGTAGTTCATACTTCTCTTACCATTTTCTCTTGATGTACATTGTGAGTTTTGCATTTAGATCTTTCTTTTTGTAGGGTCTTACTATGTTTCCCAGGCTGGTCTTGGACTCCTTGCCTCAAGGGCCCCTCCCACGTCCCATAGCGCTGAGATTATAGGCTTGATCCACCATGCCTGGCCCTAGTTTTGCATTTTTATGGTATAGCATCCTCAGTTTGCTGAAATAAAGATGCTTTTAGGACCTTATATTAAATTCAAGCATTATTTCATACCTTTATTGTTATGGTGAAGAGTTCTGTGAGAACTGGGGTTTCGTTTAAACAAATAGGGACCCAGACTTCACCTGGGCCTGTGATGGTTCCATTTAAATAATGGAGGATCCTGGCTCCAAATGGTTAAATTCATTCCTCCAGAGAAGCAGGAGGTTGAACTAGAGAGGGGATTGGCTGTCAGAGTTTGAACTGGGAGCCACCGGTGCTGATCAACATGGTCTTCCATTCTTAGAATGTTTCTGATGATGATTATTTTAGAATTTCCCATGTGAATGATTGACTTATTCATAACAAGTAGTCTTTTAAAAATTACCTCACTCATGTTTCCTTAAAAGTCATGTCATTTTTCATACTCAGACAATTTTTGTTTATTATGTTTAAATATGTATAACATAAAATTTGCCATCTTAACCATTTTTGAGTATACAATTCAGTGTCATTATCTTCACAGTGTTATATAACCCCTATCCATGTCGGGACTTCTTCATCATTCCAAACAGAAACTCTATTCCTAGTAAACAACATCTCCCCGTCCTGCACCCGTAGAACCACTGTTCTACTTTCTCTATCTACCTATTCTATTCTAGGTGGAATTGTATGGCATTTGTTCTTTGGTACCTGGCTTATTTCACTTAGCAGAATGTTTTCAAGGTTCATCCATGTTGTTGCATGTGTCAGAATTTCATTCCCTATTAAGCTTGAATAACATACACATGTATATACCACATTTTATTTATTCATCTTTTGATGGAATTCTTTGTACTTTCATTGACTTTTTTTGAGGAGTAGGTAATGGATGACTAGCAGAACTTACTAAAGATTCTCGAGATTGTTCTCCTGAAAGACGTGATCCCATAACAGTAGTAGTTTGAGACTCACTAAGCATGTTCTCCCCTGGACTTGACAGTATGAGACTGGATTCCACTAATCTCAGAAGATCCATGATCATATCCATTTTCAGACCCCTAGCTAAACTCCTCCTCCTACTCCTTTTTTTTGAGAAAAGTCCTCACTCTGTTGCCCAGCATAGAGTACAGTGGCATCACTATAGCTCACTGCAACCTCCAACTCCTGGCCTCAAGTCATCCTCCCTCCTTGGCCTCCCAAAGTGCTGGGATTACAGGTGTGAGCCACCCCTAGTGCTGGATTACTGTGTCTGGCTACCCCTAGCCAAACTTCTTAGAAGCCTTTTCACTTCTCTCTCCTGGACTTACTTTTGTAGGTGGTTTCCTATTCACACATTTAACTCATTTAAAGTTTTTTTTTTTTTTTTTTTTTT